CCCCCCCCCCCCCCCCGCATGCTCCGCTCTCTCGAGGACGCGTGGTCAATGGCCTAACCGCGATGGCATGCAAAACATAAGAGTACGCCCCCCCCCTCCCCCGGTCGGCAACCACCGTATCAGCTTTTACTCCTTCATACTAGAGAAAAATCGCCCCGATCTGGTCAAGAAGTTCGTGGCCCTGGACGTAGGAGGAGGGCTGAGTTTCCGACCGTCTGTGAGCCTAGTGGCGATCGTGCTGTACCAGACATATCTCATGGTCGCCTTCCTGATTGGCGGGCGCATCGGCGACGCAATGGCGAGGGGGTTTGCTCGCCTAGCGAGCGCCCCCGCCGCTTCCACTGTCGCGAGGGCGAGTGTCTGCTACCCGTACATCCACTTCTGGAAGTCACAGATCCAAACTTGCTTGGGCATGGGGCCCTTCATACCGCGGTGCCCCGTTCTGTTCATGTATGGGTCGGGAGGAATGAAGAAATTGATGGTGAGAACATTTCTCTTGTAGCACGTTATGCTTTTTGTGTTTTATATACCGTGGCGTTTTGTCTTTTTGTCCGGGAAATCGATAAGTTATTTGTGTGCCGACCCCGGCGCATTTTATTTCTGCAAGTGATACTGCTGTGGCACATCTATCTCCCCATTCGTCTTACCATATTTCTGAGGTTTGGATTTGTCTCCGGAAGACCTTTACCTTTGCGTTTCTTGCGTTCACATCCTCTGGTCTCTAGACACTGCTCGTCCTAGTGGAAGGCACAACCCTCTATCCAACGCAGCAAACCAATGTGAGCGAACGGGGGTAGCGTTCTCTCTATCCTGAAACGACACCTTTTCTCTCTCAAAAAACTGTTGTACCACTTTTATTCATGTGTTGTGGCTGTTTGACCAAGTCGAGTTTTGCTCTTCTTGTCTTGCGCTGTACTCTACCTGCCGTCGCTTGTCTGGCGTGTTTTCTCTCGTTGGGTCCGCTTCCAGAGGTTCCACGCTGACTGGTGGGTGGACAAGATCAGGAAGCAAAAGGGCTCGTCCGTCGTGGAGGTGACGGAGGCTTCGCACTGGCTGATGCGAGGCCGGGGGGGCGACGTCGTGAACGCCCAACTGGACACGTTCTTCGCCGAGGGGTGATTGTTTTGACGAAACATTCGCGGAGGCACCGTAACGGCCGGTGTGCCGAATTATTGAGGACACAAACTTTATCCTCGGTAAGCATGCAAAAATGGTGTTGGTCACACATGAGGATACGAATCTGAACCAATAGGAACGGTGACTGAAACACATTGATTTCCGCGAGTGGGGCAAGTTTGTGCATGTACATATATATATGGGGCAAGCAAGAGAGATATAGTTCCGTGCCTTTCGCAAGGTGTACTGTACGGGGATGATACCGGTTGCCTTGAAAACCGGACTCGACTGTGCTTGGAGAGGGGGGTGGGGGATACACGAATCAATCGAATGTGATAAAAACCTTCTGGGGGGTTTCACGGCACCGAAGAAGTATCGGCTCTTATCTTTTTTGAAATGGTTTCCTCGATCAAAACAAACCTTGGTGAGAGTGCAAGGCTTTGCCCATAGTCTAATCCTGCAATTAGTGTTCATTGTAAAGCGGAGAGCGCAAGGTTGCTCTTAAAAAACTAGTGGCATGTGCTGAAGCAAAGCGCGTTCTTGTATTTGGGT